CCAGGTTGAGCTCCTCGAAGGCAGTACCGTTGGTGTAGCTGAAGATGGTGGCTGGTTGACCACCGTGCAGCTGCTGGAACCTCACACACAAGCTCCACTGAAACAACCATCAACACAAATCAATAACAACCACATTGATTTTACTATTTTATCTTAGGTTAATCTAAAGTGTGTGTGTGAGTGTGTACTTACCCAGTTGTACTCAGTTGTGGTTGCAGGGGTCGATTCACAACTCCTGGTCCCGCCTCTTCACTGGTCGCTACAGCTCCATGAGCTTTATCATACCTCTTCTTAAAGTTATGTATGGAGCCTACCTCCACTACATCACTTCCCAAACTATTCCACTTCCTCACAACTCTGTGACTCAAGAAATACTTTCTAACATCCCTGTGATTCATCTGAGTCTTCAACTTCCAACTGTGACCCCTTGTTGCTGTGTCTCATCTCTGGAACATGCTGTCTCTGTCCACCTTGTCGATTACTCTCAGCATTTTACATATCGTTATCATATCCCCCCTATCTCTCCTGTCCTCCAGTGTCGTCATGTCGATTTCCCTTTTCCTCATATGACACACCCCTTAGCTCCGGGACTAGTCTTGTTGCAAACCTTTGCACTTTCTCTAATTCCCTTAAGTGCTTGGCTAGGCATGGGTTCCAAACTAGTGCTACATACTCCAATATAGGCTGTTCTTGGGTTTGCTAGATCATTTTCCTTGAGTGAGGCTTGTAGTCTCTGGCACCCATAGACTGTACTCCGTCTGCGGTCTTCTTTGCCCTTCCCCAATCTTCACGACTTTGCACTTGGTGGGATTGAACTCCAGGAGCCAGTTGCTGGACCAGGCCTGCAGCCTGTCCAGATCCCTTTGTAGTTCTGCTTGGTCCTCGTCCGATTGAATTCTTCTCATCAACTTCACATTATCTGCAATCTACCCATCCCTCTCTCTCTTGTCTTACTGCTGTCACCCTGTCATAGAACTCCAGTAGGTTTGTGACACAGGATTTCCCGTGCTGGCTGTCGTTGATAAGCTCATTCTTTTCTAGGTGTTCCACCACTCTTCTCTTGATAACCTTCTCCATGACTTTGCATACTATACACGTCAGTGACACTGGTCTGTAGTTTAATGCTTCGTGTCTGTCTCCTTTTTTAAAATTTGGGACTACATTTGCTGTCTTCCATACCTCAGGTAGTAGGCCTGTTTCTATAGATGTGTTAAAGATTGTTGTTAGTGGTACACATAGCGACCTCTGCTCCCTCTCTCAGAACCCATGGAGAGACGTTATCTGGCCCCATCGCCTTTGAGGCATCTAGCACGCTTAGCAGCCTCTTCACGTCTTCCTCGGTTTTATGTATTTTGTCCAACACTTAATGGTGTACCCCACCTCTCCGTCTTTCTGGAATCCCTTCTGTCTCGTCTGTGAACACTTCTTTGAATCTCATGTTGAGCTCCTCACATCGCAATCGTTTCTTGTGATCTCCCCTCCTTCCTTCCTCAGCCTGATTACCTTGTCCTTGATTGTTGTTTTCCTCCTGATGTGGCTGTACAACAGGCTCAGATTTGGCTTTAACTATGTCATTTTCGTATTGTCGCTGGGCCTCCCTTCTTACCTGTGCATATTCATTTCTGGTTCTACGACTGCTCTCCTTATTTTCCTGGGTCCTTTACCTACTATGCGTCTTCCATTCTCTATCACACTTGGTTTTGGCCTCTCTATACCTTTGGGTGAACCCAGGGCTCAGCCTGGCATTACTCAAGGTGAATACTAGGTCTAGTCTTGCTAGTTCAACCTCTTCGTTCTCTCTGGTAGTGTGCCTTACGTGTTGGTACATGAGGTTTTCTAGTATCACCTCCATCATCTTAACCATACCTGGAGGTTATTCCGGGGATCAACGCCCCCGCTGCCCGGTCCATGACCAGGCCTCCCGATGGATCAGGGCCTGATCAACTAGGCTGTTACTGCTGGCCGCACGCAGTCCAACGTACAAGCCACAGCCCGGCTGATCCGGCACTGACTTTAGGTATCTGTCCAGCTCTCTCTTGAAGGCAGCCAGGGGTTTATTGGCAATTCCCCTAATGCTTGATGGGAGACTGTTAAACAGTTTTGGGCCCCGGACACTTATGGTGTTTTCCCTTAGTGTACCAATGGCGCCCCTACTTTTTATTGGGGGCATTTTGCATCGCCTGCCCAGTCTTTTACTTTCGTAGGGAGTGATTTCTGTGTGCAGATTTGGGACCATTCCTTCCAAGATTTTCCAAGTGTAGATTATGATATATCTCTCCCTCCTGCATTCCAACGAGTACAAGTCAAGTGCTTCCAAGCGTTCCCAGTAGTTAAGGTGCTTGACAGAACTTATACGTGCAGTAAAGGATCTCTGTACACCCTCTAGATCTGCGATTTCACCTGCTTTGAATGGAGATGTTAATGTACAGCAGTATTCCAGCCTAGAGAGAACAAGTGATTTGAAAAGGATCATCATGGGCTTGGCATCTCTCGTTTTGAAAGTTCTCATTATCCATCCTATCATTTTCTTTGCACGTGCGATCGTGGCACTGTTGTGATCCTTGAAAGTGAGATCCTCAGACATTACTACTCCCAGGTCCCTTACATTAGTTTTCCGCTCTATTGTATGGCCGGAGTCAGTAGTATACTCTGTTCTAGTTATTATCTCCTCCAGTTTTCCATAACGGAGTAGTTGGAATTTGTCCTCATTGAACATCATATTGTTTACCGTTGCCCATTGGAAAACTTTGTTTATATCTTCTTGGAGATTAACCGCGTCCTCAGCAGATGACAGCCTCGTGCAGATCCTAGTATCATCCGCAAAGGATGATACGGTGCTGTGGTGTATATCTCTGTTTATGTCTGATATGAGGATAAGGAATAAGATGGGGGCGAGTACTGTGCCTTGTGGAACAGAGCTCTTCACTATGGCAGCCTCCGATTTAACTCTGTTGACCACTACTCTTTGTGTTCGATTTGTTAGGAAGTTGAAGATCCGTCTCCCCACTTTCCCAGTTATTCCTTTAGCACGTATTTTATGGGCTATTACGCCATGATCGCATTTGTCAAATGCTTTTGCAAAGTCTGTGTATATTACATCTGCATTCTGATTTTCTTCCAGTGCATCCAAGGCCATGTCATAGTGATCCAGTAGTTGTGAGAGGCAGGAGCGACCTGCCCTGAACTCATGTTGCCCTGGATTGTGCAGATTTTGGGAATCCAGGTGATTTGTAATCCTGCTTCTTAGTACTCTTTAAAAGATTTTTTATGAGTGGGACGCAGAGGCTTTTGGGTCTTAGTTCTTAGCTAATCTTTGCTGCCCCCTTTATGGGTGGGGTATATCCTTGTTTTAAGGACTCTGGGCCCCATTGGCCCCACGTTCCCCCAGTCGAATTCTTTTTGGGTTGAAGTACCCAAAGCGCGCAGCTTTGCCCTGCAGCAGGCCCCTTCTGGCCCTTAGCAGGTGTCAACCATCGCTTTATTACTCTCTCATATCTTGCCTTGGCCTCTCTTTTTGTGGTGGTTATAAAACTGCGTTACCTTTTGGGACCTCCAGACTGAAATGTTCCTATAGTAGTCTCTTGTTCTCCTATGTTCCTCTCTCCTGCCCTCAAAATCCCCTCGGTTTTTGAGTGTGTGGGGTGTGTGTGGAAGGGGGGGGGGGGGGAGTTGGGGTACAGGGGCCGCGACCTCCCAAAAATGGCACAGGGACCGGACCCGGAAGGGCCCAGGGACGGGACCTCCGGCGCCGGGCCCCAGAGGCCCCGACCTCCCGGGAAACTGGCCCCAAGGGCCACACCTCCGGAAGCGGCCACAGGGACCGTGACATCCGGACGCGGCCACAGAGACCGTGGCTCCAACTGGCCAGGGGACCGTGACCTCCCGAAGTGGCCACGGAGACCGTGACCTCCAGAAATGCCCCCGGGGGGCCGTGACCCCCGGAAACTGGGCCCCGGGGACCCGGGCTCCGGGGAAACTGGCCAAGGGGACAGTGACCTCCGTAAGCTGGCCACGGGGACCGTGACCCGGGAAACGGGGCCACGGGGACCTACCCCGGGCTGGCCCCGGGGCCCTGACCCCCGGGAAACTGGCCCGGGGACCGTGACCTCCGGGAAACTGGCCACGGGGGCCGTGACCTCCCAAGCTGGCCACGGGGGCCGTGATCCCGAAGCTGGCCACGGGGACCGTGACCCCCGGGAAATGGGGCCCTAGGGGCAGGACCTCCGGGGAAACGGCCCCAGGGGCCGGGCCCCTGAAGCTGGCCCCAGGATCGGACCCTTTGGGCTGTACGGGGACCGGGCTCAAAAGCTGGCCACAGAACCGTGACCTCCGGAAGCTGGCCACGGGGACCGTGACCTCCGGACTGGTCGGGACCCTGACTTCCGGAAGGGCCACGGGGACCGTGGCTCTGGAAGTGGCCACAAGGACCGGACTTTGGAGCGCCCAGGGACCCTGCCTCCGGAAATGGCCACAGGGACCGTGACCTCCGGAAAGGGCACGGGGGCCGTGACCCCCGGAAATGGCCCCGGGGACAGTGGCCTCCTGGGGTGGCACAAGGCCCGTGATCTTGAAGCTGGCCCCAAGGCCGTGAAAACCCCTGGAAGCTGACCCCACTATGTGACCTCCCGAAGGTGGCCACGGGACCGTGACCCCAGAACTGGCCCGGGGGGCCCCACCTCAAGAAGCGGCCACGGGGGCAGTGACCCCAGGAACTGGCCACGGGACCGTGGCCTCCCGGAAAATGGCCAGGGGGCCGGACCTCCCGGGAAACTGGCCCGGGGGCCCTGACCTCCGGAAGTGGCCTAGGGGGCAGTGCCTCCCGGGAAACTGGCCCCAGGGCCGTGCCTCCTGAAACTGGCCCCAGGGATCGTGACCTTGGAAGCTGACTACGGGGATCGTGACCTCAGAAAGCTGGCCACAGGGAAAGTACCTCCGGACGTGGCCACGGGGACCGCACCCCAAGAAGCGGACGGGGGCAGTGACCCCAGGAAACTGGCCACGGGGACAGTGACCCCCGGGGCTGGCCACGGGGACATACCTCAGGAAGCGGCCACGGGGTCCGTGCATCCCGGAAAACTGGCCCGTGACCGTGACATCCGGAAGCTGGAGGTCACGGGCCTGGAGTAGAACGAGAAGCTAGTAGTAATTTCGGTCCAAGTCGGACCGAAACGTCGTCATAGGCTTCTCTAGAAGTCTGTTCCACATGCAAAACTTCTCAAAAAGGTTCAATGCAACCGTTTTTTTCCTTCGGCAGCCCACCAGAATGGTTCAGGTCCAGTGAGCAATAGAATGAAGATAACTATATTTAATAGTTTAATACTGATATCTGTTAACTTCTAACAAATATATGATGGATATTTTCCAGCTATTTTGTTTTTGATATGTACACTGTCACATTCTTTGCCCTTCAATAACAGAAATTTGAATTGCTATTTACTAAAATTTTTCATCTCCTACAATGATAAATCTTGCATACAGTCAAATGTTAAAGAAATATAGCATTTTTTGTTAAACTCCACCTAGGTGGGTACTTTCGAGTTTTAAAATAGATTAATAACAACCAAGTGAGGAAAAGTGGGTTAGCTACTTGTGTGCCAACCCTGCACTCAAGAGAGGATGGAGGAAGGTATGGCCATTATGTGGAGTTGGGATGGCTGGCTACTTTAAGAAGAGCTGAGGGAATGAAATGGACATTAGGAGAGAGACGGGACCACTGAGAAGAGGGAAGCAGGTAGGAAAGGAGACACTTTAGGAGGCAGAGAAAGAGGGAGGGAAGGAAGCAGGGTAGGAGGCCAGGAAGGAGGTAGAGTTGGAGGGCAAGAGGAAGGTAGGGAGGTACTCGAGACACTTCTCAATAAAAGGCATCATAGATACACACACACATACTCGTGCATTTGCAGAACAGTCTGAAGACATGCCGACTCTGGAGACGGTAGTGGGAAGGATAAGAAGCAAAGAAAGAGAAGGTGCTCAGGGTGAAGGGATAGTGGGACACTCGAGGTGGCACTCGAATTGGAAGGGGGCACTGGTGATAAGACAGGGCACTGGTGAAGGAAAGGGGCACTGGTGAAGGAAAGGGGCACTGGTGAAGGAAAGGGGCACTGGTGAAGGAAAGGGGCACTGGTGAAGGAAAGGGGCACTGGTGAAGGAAAGGGGGCACTGGTGAAGGAAAGGGGCACTGGTTTAAGGGAAAAGGGGGCCCCGGTTTAAGGAAGGGGCCCTGGTGAAGGAAGGGGGCATTGGTGAAGGAAGGGAGAAACAAGCGAAAAGGAAAAGGAACTCAAGAAGGGAGGGGGAGGCAGTAATGTAGAGAGGAGGGGGCATTGAGATGAGAGTAACTTAGTAGAGCCATCTCGATCACTCACACTCTCAGCTCAGCAACTCTGCCAGACTAACATGTCAAGTGAACAATAAGCGTAGACAGCAAGACTGGTGCCAGCAGCCGGAGATAACACACTCAGTTACCATGAATCCAAGAGGCAGGGAGTCCTAAGTAGAGGCGGTGGACGACACCTAAACATAGGCCTGTGTGTGTACTCACCTAATTGTGGTTGCAGGGATCGACACTCAGCTCCTGGCCCCCGCCTCTTCACTGATCGCTACTAGGTCCTCTCTCTCTCTCTGCTTCCTGAGCTTTGTCATACCTCGTTTTAAAGCTATGTATGGTTCCTGCCTCTACTGCATCACTTGCTAGGCTATTCCACTTCCTGACGACTCTATGACTGAAGAAATACTTTCTAACATCCCTCTGACTCGTCTGAGTCTTCAGCTTCCAATTGTGACCCTTGTTTCTGTGTCCCATCTCTGGAACAACCTGTCTCTGTCCACCTTATCTTTTCCACGCAGTATTTTGTATGTCGTTATCATGTCTCCCCTGACCCTCCTATCCTCCAATGTCGTCAGTCCTATTTCCCTCAACCTTTCTTCGTAGGACATACCCCTGAGCTCCGGAACTAGCCTTGTTGATAACCTTTTCACTTTCTCTAATTTCTTGACGTGCTTGACAAGGTGTGGGTTCCAAACTGGTGCTGCATACTCCAGTATGGGCCTGATGTACACAGTGTACAGTGTCTTGAACGATTCCTTACTAAGGTATCGGAACGCTATTCTCAGGTTTGCCAGGCACCCATATGCTGTGTGTGTGTGTGTGTGTGTGTGTGTGTGTGTGTGTGTGTGTGTGTGTGTGTGTTAGTTACCATTTGGTCCTAGGCACATGTCGATTAGACACTAGGCCTGTTGTATGTGCATGCATGTGTGTGTATGTGTGTATGTGTGTGTGTGTTAGTGTACTCACCTAGTTGTACTCGCCTAGTTGAGGTTGCAGGGGTCGAGTCCGAGCTCCTGGCCCCGCCTCTTCACTGATCGCTACTAGGTCACTCTCCCTGAACCGTGAGCTTTATCATACCTCTACTTAAAGCTATGTATGGATCCTGCCTCCACTACATCGCTTCCCAAACTATTCCACTTACTGACTACTCGTGGGTGTGTGTGTGTGTGTGTGTGTGTGTGTGTGTGTGTGTGTGTGTGTGTGTGTGTGTGTGTGTGTGTGTACTCACCTAGTTGAGGTTGCAGGGGTCGAGCCCAAGCTCCTGGCCCCGCCTCTTCACTGGTCACTACTAGGTCACTCTCTCTGAACCATGAGCTTTATCATACCTCTGCTTAAAGCTATGTATGGATCCTGCCTCCACTACATCGCTTCCTAAACTATTCCACTTCCTGACTACTCTGTGGCTGAAGAAATACTTCCTAACATCCCTGTGATTCATCTGTGTCCTAGCCGTCACTGCTGCTGTTGCTGTCCTAGCTCTCACTGCTGCTGTTGTTGTTGTTGTCCTGTTACTGTTGTTGTTCCTGTTCTGTTCTAGCTGTCACTGCTGCTGTTGTTGCTGTCCTAGCTGTCACTGCTGCTGCTGTTGCTGTCCTAGCTGTCACTGCTGCTGCTGTTGCTGTCCTAGCTGTCACTGCTGCTGTTGTTGCTGTCCTAGCTATCACTGCTGCTGCTGTTGCTGTCCTAGCTGCCACTGCTGCTGTTGTTGTTGCTGTCCTAGCTATCACTGCTGCTGCTGTTGCTGTCCTAGCTGCACTGGGCTTGCATGTTGTTGTTGCTGTTCCTTGCCATCACTGCTGCTGTTGTTTTGCTGTCCTAGCTATCACTGCTGCTGTTGTTGCTGTCCTAGTAGGCTGCCACTGCTGCTGTTGTTTGGTTTGCTGTCCTACTAGCTCTCACTTGCTGGTGATTGCTGTCCTAGCTGTCACTGCTGCTATTGTTGTTGCTGTCCTAGCTCTCACTGCTTCTGTTGCTGTCCTAGCTCTCACTGCTGGTGTTGCTGTCCTAGCTGTCACTGCTGCTGTTGTTGTTGCTGTCCTAGCTCTCACTGCTTCTGAGTTTGCTGACCCCCCCCACCCCCCCCCACCCCCCGTCCCTAGCTCTCACTGTGTGTGTGTGTGTGTGTGCGCGCGCGTGCGCGCGCACACCAGGTGCTAGGCTGAAGCAGGTAGGCGGAGATGGGTGTATTATGGTTTAATAAACCTTGGTAATTGATAGCAACAAATTGGTTTAATAAAGACAAGTGAGCAAACCCTGGGAAATATTTATTAGAACACGTTTCGGTCCTGTGACCTTCACTTGATCATTAGAAGTGATCAGGGTCCCAGGACCTATACATTTTCTATTAAATATGTCCTAGTGTTATCACTTGCCTTTACAGAACCAACAGTTATACTATACCTGTGTGAGTCTAGGAAGAGCGCCGAGACCACTGTCAACATAGGTGTGACTGCTGGCTCGACCGTCGGACTGTAGGAACACCCCGATCACTGTCTCACCCTCGGCCTGGCCAACTGAGGAGGTAACATAATAATTACGAACTTTATAAGAGACCACTGGCCCCAATGCTACGAGGTAACACACGCTAAGCTCCTTTATATATATATATATATATATATATATATATATATATATATAATATATATATATATATATAATATATATATATATATATATATATATATAGGGAGGTACCACCTCTAGAATGTCATAGGACCTCATCCTCAGAGAAAAGAATAAACTTGCTTCAGGAAAACTCAAGTCTCTCCTGAAGTGATTGAGATTTTTCTCCTAACCATATATTTCAAGTATGTTTTATATTAAAGGACAAAATACATGGGCCAAACATTCACAAAAATACAACAGAAAGTTAAAAAAAACATAGGTAACTCAGAGCTACGTCTCGAATATTCGTCCAGCCTCCCCTACAGTGGGCCCGTGCCCAAATGCTGCAGGCATTTCCTCTCTGGATACGCACACTGGGTCTCTGATGAGAATGCTGAGTCGCCCTGTGGTCCTGGTTTCTATGATGAAACTTTTCCCCAGCTCGTTGAGGAACTTTAGAGGCACACTTGCCCCATGCTCCAAGGGTCTCCGACCCTATTGGAATGAAGTTATAGCAAGGGGGAAGGTCTTCATATTTTCGGATCTTCTGGGTCTCCCTGTGGCTGGCAGCTCCACCCCCTTCCACTACGGAGTATAGCAAGTAGGTGTCTGCCAATGTGGCAGCACAGGTGTAGTCCCAGGCAATCTGCTTTCCATCCTTCCAGGGTAGCATAGTGGCTCCATCAGGACGCTTTTGCCTTCCATCAGACCTCTGTACTTGGGGTTCCCGTTGAGCTGGGCAACGGGCTGTGGCGAGGCTTCTCTTTATTATGTCATTGATCTCCTCATGTCTGGCATACTTCCCTTCTGCTGTGTGCACACGAGACCATGAAGTTCCGAAATTGATCAGCTGTCGCCCTGCCGCAAATACACCTATGTTCGGTGAGGATGGGGGCGGCTAGGCGAAGAGCAACACCAATTCCTAGGCCTATACCTTGACAACAACCTGAATTTCAGCACCCATATCCAACACATAACCAAAAAAGTATCCAAAACAGTTGGGATCCTCTCCAAGATACGATACTACGTGCCGCAAAATGCCCTTCTCACACTATACCACTCACTTATTTATCCATACCTCACCTATGCTATTTGTGCTTGGGGATCAACTGCAGCAACACACCTAAAGCCAATAATAACCCAACAAAAAGCTGCAGTAAGAATAATCACTAAATCCCATCCCTGGCAACACCCCCCCCCCCACTCTTCATAGATCTAAACTTACTCCCTGTTCAGTACATCCACACTTACTACTGTGCAATCTACATCTACAGGACCTTAAACTCCAATATCAACCTTGATCTAAAACGCTTTCTTGATAGTTGTGACAGAACCCACAGGGATAACACCAGACACAAACATCTCTACGACATTCCCCATGTCCGACTAAACCTTTACAAAAATTCAATGTATGTCAAAGGCCCTAAAATCTGGAACACCCTACCTGAGAACTCTAGAACTGCAGACACATTCATCACCTTCAAAACTACCATTAGAAAACATCTTATCTCCCTGATAAACCCCATCAACTAACTACACGAATACCACCTGGTGGTTCACACTTACACTCACTCACCCATTTGACCATAAACAGAAATATTAATCTCAATCTTAAAATAATGAATCCTATGATACTCCAATACTGAAACTATGTACTGTGCCAAAACAAAAGCATTCACATTGTTAAACTCACAAACTAGTATTTAGTCACTTAGCCATAATACCAACTTACCTCATAATTTGTAATATTTTAAAATAAAGAATTAAACTAAGTCTGCCCGAAATGCCTAGCCATGCTAGGCGTTCTAGTGGTACACTCTGTAATCATTATTTAACTATATGTAAACCACACAACAACCAAATTCTGTAAATTCAACATTGTAATCTTTATAGAGAATAAACTTTGAATCCGAATGGCCTGTGGGTCGAGATGGGTGTCCAGGGAGGAATTGGGAACAGCTAACAGGAAATCTCCTGAGTGTGGTGCCTTCACTGCCAGGAGACGAGCTTTGTTCTTTCCTGAAGCATTGGAGAGCATTGTGTTGGCGATTTTTTCCATGATCGGTTTGTCCCAGTGGGACTGTTTGTGCTGTTTGGGAGGAGCTAGTCTACTGGAGGAGTCTGTAAGGGTGTCCCACCGAATCGCTGCTTCAGTAAACCTGGGGTCTTGAGCTCCTACCACGTCTCTCAAGCGTTTTCGGGCACTATCTTCTTGACTAATGCACTGGAAGCCAAACACGAAGACAGAAAAGCAGGTAAAGCAACATGCGTTGCTTTACGCACCCCTATACCTCCCAGTCGCACTGGGAGGGTTGCCTGATCCCATTGCTCATCCTCTAGTGACAGGTTCAGTGCCTTCTTAAAAGTTGATCTCAGGTGTGCGTCATATTCATCGAGTGTTGGGTTGTCAAAAGAGGGTGCACACCTCAAGAAGTAAGTGAGTCTTGGCATAGTAAGACACCTTGTGAGGAGATACAGAGCATCATGGGCATCAAGATCGCTTATTCTCTCCTCCATTCTCATCAGGTCATTCAATTTGTCCCTGAGGATAGTATCGATGGCCTGGTGACCCAGCGGTGCCCCCAAGAGGGTACTGTTGGACGGAGTTGTAGTTGAGACTTCTGGGAGGATTCTTCGCACAGCACTGATTATTTCCTGGTTCGCTGTGATGATTTCACACTTGGAGGGATTGAGGATGAGTCCCAAGTCTTCTCCCTGTGTTTTCACCAGTTGTAGGTCCCCCACGAGGGACTCTTCAGTACCTGCCAGAGTGCCGTCATCCAGGTACCAGATATTGAGCTCACTGCGTAGGCTGGAAGTTAGTTCTCTTACTGCCAAGCAGAAGAGAAGTGGAGCGAATGGGTCACCCTGCTGAACACCCTCTGATGATTGAATTTCATGTTCTCCAAACAAAAGAATTGAGGGTTTGCTGTAGCCGGCTGAAATGAAGGGAAAGAGACTGGGGAACCGAACCCGAACAGCTGGCAAGACAGCATCTCTCTTCACCATATTAAAGGCATTTCTAAAATCAAGTTTGACTATGGCCTTGTCTTCTGGTAGGTCCCTGATGTAGGCCCTTGCCGCATGAACTGCAGCTTCACTGCATGCCGAATAGACAGAACTTGCGATCTTGGCTTAAATAGCAACGCTCATCTTGCCATATAGGACAAGTGAAAATTTGTGTATGCAATAATTTCGCCAAAATCATTTTTAACCTAACGAAAAAAATATATTTCACTGTGTTTGTTTAGTATTAAATTATTGTAAACAAATCTAAAATATATTTAGTTGGGTTAGGCTAAAATAAATTGCACTTGCTATAAAAAGGTTAGGTAAGTTTTCTAAGATTCTTTTGGTGCAAAATTAAAATTTTTTGCATTAACATTAATGAAAAAATATATCTTTAAACGTATAAGAGAAAATTTTAGAAAGGACTTAATTTTAAATGAGTTCTTCCTAATTGACCAGTTTTACATATTCGGCACGACATTATATATATATATATATATATATATATATATATATAATATATATATATATATATATATATATATATATATATAATATATATATTATAAAACAAATATCGCAAACCAAGCGATGTATGATGCAAAACAACCACGGGGGGAGTAGAATAATAGCTCTAGGCCTTTCGTGTTGCAATCAACACATCATCAGGAGCTTGCAAAATTGCAAAAAAGAGGAGGGGTTCTAGCAAATAACGTTCCCAGAGGATCGCCTTTACTGGAGGTTTACCTGGAAAGGGTTTCGGGGGTCAACGCCCCCACGGCTCGGTCTGAGACCAGGCCTCGTGGTGGATCAGGGTCTGATCAACCAGGCTGTTACTGCTGGCCGCACGCAAACTGACGTACGAACCACAGCCCGGTTGGTCAGGTACTGACTTTATGCTCCTGTCCAGTGCCTTCTTGAAGACAGCCAGGGGTCTATTGGTAATTCCCCTTATGTATGCTGGGAGGCAGTTGAACAGTCTTCGGCCCCGGACACTTACTGTGTTGTCTCTCAGTGTACTCGTGGAGCCCCTGCTTTTTATTGGGGGAACCTTGCATATCCTGCCAAGTCTTTTAATTTTATAGGGAGTGATTTTCGTGTGCAAATTTGGTACTAATCCCTTTAGAATTTTCCAAGTGTATATTATCATGTATCTGTCTCGCTCGCCTGCGCTCCAGGGAATACAGATCAAGGGCCTTCAACAGTTGCCAGTAATTTAGATGCCTTATCGTAATTGTGTGTGCCCTGAAAGTTCTTTGTACACTCTCCAGGTCAGCAATTTCGCCTGCCTTGATGGGGGCAGTTAGTGTACAGCAGTATTTCAGCCTAGAGAGAACAAGTCATTTGAAGAGAATCATCATGGGCTTGGCATCCCTAGTTTTGAAGGTTCTCATTATCCATCCTATCATTGTTGTGGTTTTTGAAGGCGAGATCCTCTGACATTATCCCTCCCAGGTCCTTCGCATTACTATTTCGCTCTATTGTATGGTTAGAATTTGTCGTATACCCCGATACAGTTTTAATTTCCTCAAGTTTTCCATATCTGAGTAGTTGAAATTTCTCTTCATTGAACTTCATATTGTTTTGAGTGGCCCATTTGAAGATTTGGTTTATGTCCGCTTGGAGTCTTGGAGTGTCTTCGATGGAGATCACCGTCACGGCAATCTGGGTGTCATCCGCAAAGGAAGACAAGGAGCTATGGCTTACATCTCTGTATATCAGATACGAGGATGAGGAACAGAATGGGAGCGAGTACTGTGCCTTGTGGAACAGAGCTTTTCACCGTAGCTGCCTCAGACTCTTTTCTGTTTACTATTACTCTTTGTGTTCTACTTGTCAGGAAGTTATAGATCCATCTACCAACTTTTCCTGTTATTCCTTTATGAAGCATTTTGTGCGCTATTACACCGTGGTCATACCTGTTGCAAAGTCTGTGTATACTACATCTGTATTTTGTTTATCCTCAACAGCATCCAGGACCTTGTCATAGTGATCCAGTAGCTGGGACAGGCAGAAGCGACCTGCTCTAAACCGGTGTTGCCCTAGGTTGTAAATGATAGGTATCTAGGTGATTGGCGATCTTGCCTCTTAGAACCCTTTCAAAGATTTTTATGATATGGGATGCTAGTGCTATCGGTCTGAAGTTCTTTGCAATTGCTTTACTGCCACCTTTGTAGAATAGGGCTATGTCTGTTGTTTACAAAGTGTGGGATGACCCTTACGTCCATGCTCCCTCTCCATATACATACATATACATATATATATAAACTGATCTCTGGCTGAAGGAGACTCGAACCTACGAACCTTAGGACAAGGTACGCACTGCGTATCTTGTCCTTAGGTTCGTAGGTTCGAGTCTCCTTCAGCCAGAGATCAGTGTTTGTGTATATTTCGCCTGCTATCGCGAATGAATATATATATATATATTTATATATATATATATATATATATATATATATATATATATATATATATATAATATACACACACACACACACACACACACACACACACACACACACTGGAGTCCAGCTCTAATGCAAATTGTGAGGACCCATAGACTCGGAGTAGATAAAAAGGCTTTAATATATTTCTTAACACTGTAGCATACATTTCGAACGGATTCCTCTTCTTTTTTCAGATACTGACACTGCTCACTACAATACCGCAGCATAATTCAAATTGGCTTAACGTACATTGTGAACATCATCTTTGGGGAGAAAACATGGCCAAGTGGATAAGGTCCAAGATAGTTTGACAGAGTGAATATGGACCAATAAGTTTTGACAGAGCAGATATGGACCAAAGGGATTTGTCAGAGTGGATATGGGTCTACAGATTATGGATGGAGTGCACATGGATGTTTGCAGTATATGAAGTGAGGAGACACTATATGGTAACTGTACAAGTACAGAATTGAATAAGCCGCCAGCGACCAAACGTCTCCAATAAATATCTTGACTGTGCATATGAGTCTCATTCCCACTGTACAGTACCTGTTATGTTGCGGACACCTACGCTGAACACCACAGGAAGAAGGACCAGCGTCCACATCGTCCTCTTGACCACCTGTCCTGCCTTGTCCTCGCCAGATGTCCTGCTCTCCTAGCAAGCGGATGACTCCCAAATATATAGCTCCACTAGAAGCACAAGGAGAATGAACATTATATCAAAACATTCAGTTAAACACTTTATATGATCAGGATGTTACCTGTAGTAGCTCACTAAGAATAAATACCTATTGTGGCTTATTATCCAGGATAAATGACTAAAGCTGCTTATCAACCAGAAGGAATATGCTTGAAGATCTCTACTCCTATATAAACTTTTATAGTGAATCACTAGGCAATGAAGGAAGTTGTTAGATTTGACTTGGGTCATTCAGCACGTCTGACAATAAAAAAAAAACTAAATACAAGCAGACACTAACACTCGCAAGCCAAAACTGCAACCCCCCAAAACCAAAGGGAAAAATCATGCAAATTAAAATAAGGAACTCAATGAAAAAAAATGTATTATCTAAACTCCCTTAAAACTTCCCCGAGGTCCCTACAGGCACCAGGATAATTATAAAACCACGACTGAGGCACAAAAACATAAGTTATGCGCAAATAGATCAAATGTGTTCAAATCACCAGCATACTATATTTCATAGAGAGGGGAGGCAGGAGTACCTGCTGAGGCATGTCTCCTCAGGAGGTGCTCCTGCAATGTCACAGTGATGATTTTTGTTAATAGAGAAGACTTCAACCCTCCCCAAAGATCCACCTTGGCTGGTTAATATAATGAGAGCAGGGAGCATCGTGTAGAGCTCTGCAGTGAACACACAAGACTCACTTGGCAAGTCAGTACATAAGAGCCTTCACTGGCAAACACCACAAAGCCAGCCCTGCCCCTGCTCTTCAGCCTATCAGTAAAAAATAAACTCTGACCTGTGAAGCATGGACCAAACCATAATCTAGGAAACAAGCCAAGGTCATCAAGGGAGTCTGGCATTTAGGTGTTCCCATCCACCGCATATACTCATCCCCCCTTCCCCGCCCCCCCTCTCTTCGTTTTCCCACTCTACTTCCCCCCTCACTCTCCCAATCCCTCTCTCCCTCACAGCTTATCCCTTATTTAAGCTAATAAGGATTTTCATCAATAGTCATTTATTACTTAGTAAATGGCGTGCTGGAGTCGCCCGGAGCGTAGCAAGTTCACCCAGACCCAGGGACTAGGCACCTTCTTCAACTCTTTCTTTCCCTCAAATCCTCTAAAAAAAAATATGAAAAAGAGCATCACATTATAAGGTTCAGAGAGCAGACATTAATAAAGACACCAACAATGTCCTAACGATTTTTTTTAAATACAATGCAAATAGATAATCGAATAAATACTGATTACAATAATTAACAATAAAGTTTCAAACTCATGTTGACTGTTCATACAAGAGTGACATGAACAAATAATGGAGATAGCATTAGACTGGAAATTAGTAACATGTAAACATCACAGTAAAATGGCATCAATGAACTAATAAACTTTTATAATAACAGAAACTGAGTTTAACCCCCACACCCGTTTCTTTCATTAAAATCTTGATGGTACCAACACGTTTCCTTCTTTATTAGGCTAGCTGCCCAAACACGTTTCCCTCCTTTTATTACTGGTGGTCCCTACATGTTTGTATTATTTCACTGCTGGTGGCTATAATACGTTGTCAGCTTCATGTTGATGGCCCAACACTATTCCATTCTTATACTGCTGGTGGCCCCAAATACCTGTGATTAATCCGTGGCCTGTTTCGTGAGTTTTTGTACTCATGCGGCCAGGTACGGGGCCGCGTGACTGCTCGGCCGACCAGACTATTCCTGTTGACCAACCTATCCACAGCCTGATTGATGTGGCACACTGCGGAGGTAGCGATCCAGTTTTCTATTGCAAACTTCTACACTCGTTTTGGCAACATTTCTGATACCTGATGGTAGCAGTTTGAAAAGCCTAGGACCACGAATGGTGAAACAGTAAGTTTATTCAGGTATACACAAATACAGTTACATAGATTTCATACATAGCAGTATATGTGTAGAGAACCTGGGATAACCCAGGATAACAGTGTTTTCTTATTATTCCCTTGTCTATCCTGCTTTTCACATGGCCTGTTTTACACTTCCATATCTCTCACTCGTATAAGATGGTTTAAACTGTGACCATAATTTTTAAAGGGGTGGACCAATAAACCAGCGGAAGGCCTTAGTCAGATGACCAAAAGCTCCAACGACTAAGACCCGCGTCAGGAAACACTTGCCCTGTTTTGATTCACAGATTCATAGTCTTCAAGCTGCCGCCGTCGAGAGAAGACGTCTGCGTTCCTGCTCTGAGCACTGAGACCCAAATTTTTTATTGGGTTATCCAGAGTAATTCTTGACCAGGGCTGAGAGGAAAACTTGTTTACGGTCACTTCGAGCCCCATCCCTTCAAGAGGGTAAGGCGGTGGCCAGCTTGCTTGTTTTCCCCTCTCTTCTCCACCCCCTCATCCTTTCCCTTCCTCCCCTCACCCAAACATTTACACTGGCCCACACACTAACACACTGCTATCATTCTTCCTTTCCTATCTTCTTTTTCGGCAACTTCGCCTTCGGCGAGTTAACACAAGGCATTTTGAGCATCCGGTAGCCCGTGTGTTTTTTTAAAATCTGGCCGATCTTTGCCTAGGGCCCTATCCCCCTCACTCCTCGAGGGTAGGCTATCATAGGCGCTGACCTTCATAAGTCAGCTGACTGAGGGTGGTTAGGATAACAAGGATTTTTTTTTTTACTGTGATCTTTGTGTCTGATATACCTTAATGGGCATCATGACGAGAATCCGAGTTAGAATACGTGTCAATGACACCCAGAAATTCAAGAAGCCCAATGGTAAGGCTAATGGTATTGATGACTGGACAGACATTTTTCTTAACAAATTACTTAGACTATACAACAAACATTGTCCTATAAAAACGAAACATCACAAACAAACGGCTTGGTTGCCCATGGCTAACCAGTACCATTCTGAAATCCACTGACTAGAAACACCAATATGAAAAGCAATATAGACAGGGCTTAATACACAAAGATATTCTTAAACACTATTCATCAGTTCTCACCAGAGTAATAAAGAAGCCAAACAACTATACTACTCCAGTAGATTCACAAACACAAGAGGAGATATAAAAAAGACCTGGAAAACACTCTCTCAGATTCTAGGGACCCACAAACTGAAAAAAAACAAGAATATTGTCCTATACAAGTGCAACTAATGTGACATTTATTGTGGCAACGTTTCGCTCTCCAGGAGCTTTATCAAGCCATTACAAACAATACATGGACACAGAGGGTATATAAAGGCTCAGAGTGAGGTGAATACTAGTGAGGTACCATTTCGATGTTTACTAGTGGTAGTAGTAGTAGTAGTAGTGGTAGTGACAAAAGTATTACAATATGGTAGAGCAATTAATTCGTACATGAGTAAAAGGATATAAAAGCTATTACTTGGGTAACATAAAAATAGGTTGGTCCTTGAAAAGTTAACTTCCTTAGGCATCACCCCCTTCCACCTGACAGTTATCAGGCACAATGCACAGTTTTTGTGGCACGAATCAATAGTTTCATGAGAGACTGCCCTACTGATGACCTAGTTGATGAAATTAACCAAGCAAATTCTGAGTTTAAGGTTCTTCATGCTTATAAGTTTCCCACTAGTTCCAGCTTCCGACAAACACTTAAATCCTTCAAACACCGGAAGAAGCCAACCTCATCTGTCAGCAAGGTTTGAAATGCTTTGGAACAAGATGTACATCTGACCAAATCTCCTTGGAAAGGTTTGTTAATATCACCCAATGTTTTAAGTGTTAGGAGTTTGGCCATACCACTAATAAATGCAGCAGCCAAAAACTTATTTGCAGTATTTGCTCTGGTGAACATGTTTCAGGGACCGCACCAACAAAAACAACCCTAAATGTGCCCTTTGCAATGGCAAACATGCTGTCGCTCCTAGCTGCCTAGGAAATCTAAAATACAGAAACTTCTGGATGCGAAGAAACAGAAAAACATATGAATGCCACTCCCCAAGCACTTCCACCAATGTTCCAGGCTTTATTCCCAAATCTCCCTGGATCTGGCGGGACTCCTCCGATCACCTCTCCCAATACTAATGTTTGGACTTCTGCCCCTACAGCAGCGCCCCACCCTTCCCCTCTCTCCAATATACATCAAGCGCAAAGACCACCATCATTCCCTGTGTCTTCTTCAGAGGTCGGTATTATGGGAGGCACACTGGTGTTTATGTTGGCCAAGGAAATGGGAGGTACACTGGTGTTTATGTTGGCCAAGAAAATACGCGACAATTTTCAGCTCTGCTCTTCGATTTTAAATCACTTGCTAGCGGCTAATGGGGTTCAGCCCCTCATTATCCCAGATAAAGTGAACTTAATTATGAACCAGCCCCCCTCAGGACAGGCAGTATGTGCCATCCTCCGCACCCTCACATCCTCAGACTTCATCCCTCAATCAAGACTTAACCGTGATGACAGACGTAGTTAAAACAATCCAACCCAATGCGTCACTCTGCCCCTGACCAGCCAATGACGCACTCTGCCGCCGTACCGTAGTCTCCATGACTACTCCAAGAGGACTTCAAAACTTCCGCATGGAGCCCCTACTGTTTCCTATAATAACTGTTGTGCCTATGTCACCTGAACTTAAGAATACATTACCCCAGTTGTAAGCTGATGACTGATGATGACTAACATCAGTCACCAGCAGTAGTGGGGACGAGGACCTTGTCAGTACACAGGCAACCACTCAGAGTAGGAAGAGCTCACAGTCAACTTGCACCTATAATCTTAGACAACAACTCTGTTTGCATGAATAACCCAAAATTCAAGATGTTGATGACTAGTTAACAGCAGTTACCTTTTCTGTCCATCATGGATTACACTACCCCAATTTATGGAGACTGGTTTAACTTTTCCACTATTTCATTTCCCTATGTAACATCTGCACATCTACCATGGGAGGACACCACCTCTGAAGCAGCTGAGCTGGCCAGCATCTCCAGGTTGTAGTCGACATATCAATCGCCTTGCTATCGTCACCTATAACCTACTCTCTGCAATCACGTAAAAAAGCAATTGCAAATAGTATACCTCTTGCCAACTCAGTGCCATGCAATTATATTTTCTTATAACTGTGTGACCCTGACACTACACACACACACACACACACACACACATATTACAACCCAGGAACAATAAGGCCTGCTATCCTGGGTGTAAAGGGGAGCAAGGAGCAGAACAAACACAGATGAATGACTGAATTATATTTTCCTTCACCAAGTGTGATTATAAGTATTTACAAGTATGTACACTATACAGTTGGAAATATATATGTACCACACGGTAAATCAAGAGGCATAGACACAGCCTGGAGACCGTGTTCAACCAGCTCTAGAATGGAAATGACAAGGGTGGAAACGTGAGCGGTGACCACGCCACCTCCACAATTGCCAGATCCACCTTCTCATTGGTGAACCTAGGCACTGATCTGACGATGGGGCCCCATCGTCCGACCCTTAGCACCCGGTTCGCTGGTTGGGGAGGTAGACTTTTAACGAGGGTGTATACATGCGCTGAGTAAAGAGTACATACTCTTTGCATGCCAGAACACACATGTACATATATTAAAATGCAACAAAGTGGTTGGGCCACTTACCTTTATTATCCCACCTCTCATCCCCCACCCACCTTTTTCCCATATTTCTATCCTTACCCATCCTTCTTCCCTTCCCATCTTACCAAAGCTCTGATCGAAAATTTGAGAGCTGTCTTGTTTTCTGACGAACTTTACCTAACCTAACCACATCTCTCACTTCAGTACATTGCTACTGTAGTGTGTAGACGTGAGACTAAGCCCTCCTGTATCTTCCGCGTCCATATTACCACGTATCTCTCTCACCTCTCCAGAGAACATTACCAGTTCTTGATGCGCTGCCAGTAGCCTAAATATCTCACTGATTCTGTAAGCAGTGAAAGCTCTCTGCATGTTTTCCAGCTCTGTTATCTCACACTGCTTATATCACTGGCGGCTTCATCACCTTTCCCTCTCTCTCTATTGGTGGTGGCCCCCGACACGTTCCCCTCCTTATATTCATAGTGGCCCCAATGCGTTTCCATCCTTTTAATGTTGCTGACCCCAACATGTTTCATTCCTTATAGTACCGGTGATTTCACCATGT